GCGGATGATACCAACCGGCTTGTAGGTGGAAATAATCTCACTGACGTTAGTGATAAAGGCAACGATATTTTTACAAGGGCATATGACTGGTTTCTAGGAAATAAATTGATATTAAACAAAGAGAAAACGAAGTTAATTATGTTTAGAACTAGATTATATAGAAAATATTACTATTGTAAATAACACTAAATTCTTAAGTTTACAAATTGACGAATTTCTTGATTGGTCTGAACATATTGATTATCTGCTAAATAAATTAAATTCAATTTGTTATGGAATTCGAGTTGTTGCAAATTATATGAATAAGGAAACTTTAAAAATTATGTACTTTGCAAACTTTCAGTCGCGCATGAGGTATGGAATTATCTTTTGGGGGGGTAGTGGTCAACTACAGAAAATTTTCGTGGTTCAAAAGAGAACTCTTCGGGCTGTCAAAAAAATGCAATTTAGAGAGAGCTGTAGAGGGGTGTTCAACACTGAAGGTATTTTTACTGTATATGCTTTATATATTTATGAAGCATTGATATTCTTCTTTAAAAATCGAAAGGACTTCGAACCACAGATATTTCATAGATATAATACCAGAACCCTAAATGTAAATTACCCTATTCACCGTTTAACCTTAACTGAAAGGAGTCCTTATTATATGTGCCTGAGATTGTATAATAAATTACCAAATGAGGTAAAAACAATTGCAACTCTAAAAATCTTTAAATATACAATAAAAAAGTTATTGATAGAGTTAGAACCTTACTCCATAGAAGATTTTTTCTGTAAAATTTAAATAATTGTAAATACGATGTAATTGAAATTTGTAACAATATCTGGTGCTTTTTCCTTTTGTGAAATAAAGTTGATTATTATTACTATTTACATGAATTCATCTTGTTAACGCTTCTTCAGAGCTAGACTGAAAACTGCAAAACGGCTCTGAACTGAAAACGCTTTCAGAAAAAACCGACACAGTAGGAATCCAGAAGTTTTGTAAAAAGTCGAACTATTTACAAATCTTCTGGATTCCTCCTGCTTCCTGCTTGCTAACGTTTCGCAAAACATTCAGTTAAGCATCTAAATTAAAGATCATTTAGAACAGCTGCACGTCACCGCTATTAAATATAACGGACGACATTTTTCGGGAGCAATGCGACCGCCCTTATTTTGTTGGATTATTCAAAAGATTTCGACAAAATCAATCATAAAATTTTACTGTCAATACTGCACTGTTTTGGTTTTTCAAGTGCTGCCCGCTTTCAGTGTGTTGCAACATCTAAAGGAGAGTCAAGTACCGTTACTATTCCGTGTGGAGTACGCCAAGGCCTTTTTAATATCTGCAAAATTCATTTCTATGCTGACGATACCCAAATATATCTTTCTATTACCGTCTGTAAAATACCCAATTACTCACCGATCTAGCGTACGGACCGGAGTCACTTCGGATATTTCCGGGATTTTACCGCACGGGTTTGGGAGCAATCGGATGTTTTCGGAGATATTTCCCACGACTTGAATTATGAGGTTTGTCAGTTCTGACGGTCATGTCAGTGAATGTATTCGTGTCGTTTTGCGAAAATGTACCCAAAAACTACTAAACTTTGATAGTGATTTGCGCTTCACGCTTAACGTAAATATGTGCATTAAAAAATCCTGTTTGTATGAGGGCTGCCTTTCATATTTCGGGATTTTCATAAACTAATCCTGCCATCTGGCGACTAACGTTTTTATGGGGAAGTTTGACATTTTGAGGTTAGATTTACTTAGTTAGGTTTTGGCGAAAGAGCGTTGTCTGTGTTTTTTGTGATAAATTAAAAAAAATGTGACGGTGAAAAATGGAACTTAATTAAGTTAAAGCTCCATCTAGGACTACCGTTTATCGCTGACTTTCGGACTTCAGTACTGGTTTTAGTTTTCTTAACCCATTTTGTCCCAGTGGTGCACCACCTATTCTATGATTTTTTTGTCACATTCAGGAAATATTTTTGCACATCCATTTGGAATTTTTATTATTATCACTAGTAAAGGACATAAAACCGTAGAAATCGCTAATTTATGTGTAAAGGATCTTATATATAACTTCAAAAGTTAACAAAGGCGGTACATAAATTTACAAGTAAACCCAAAAGAGTAAAAAAAATATTTTGGATTTGTATTGCCATTTTTGTTAAGTCTATAGCATGTAGATTACATAGCAGAAAACATGCATTGGAAATACTGTATTGATTATATTTTTTGTAAATACTTACTGGTGGGTGAATGCACCACATAACAAAACCTTGTTATTGCAAGTCTGGACAAGTCAGCGCATGCAGAAGAAACATCCAACAACTAACGTGTTCTTTAGTATTAGCTTTTGCGTTGTCCAGTGTTCGTAAAATATAGAGTTATTTGACTCAAAAGGAATTAGAGGCGGCTATGGAGGAGATCGTGATGGATTAGGGCAATAACAATGAAAGTCGTAAGTATTATTTGGATTTTGCGTATTCTTATGTATTGTAGCATTCCATTCCTTGTAAATTTATGCTAAAAGTAACGTGAAAAAATATTTACAGAACATTTTGGCACGGTCTATATTCCACCCGACATGGATACTTCGACTGACGAAGAAGATATGAACGATAACATAAATCTACAAGAGTTCTACTGAACCTGAATGGGACTTATCAGATGATGAAACCCTGGAATTCAAAAGAAGACGTATGCTTTCCGCAAACGACAGGCTCGCTTCTACTGCCAAATGGAAGAAAGGTCAGATTGATGTGAGGAACTAAAAAATAGGCTTTCTGGAAAAACTCTGACACCAGAAGAAGCGATTGATGCGTTTAAAAAGCATGTTTTGGAGGTGCCCGAATCGATGTGGGAAAAGTGCTTTGATGATTGGTGTGTACTGATCATCAGGGTGAATATTTTGAGAAACAAAGTCATATTTGTTGATAGTTAATAGTTTTTTATTACAAATCCCGAAATATAAACGGTGTCCTTGTAAAAAACATTTATCCCAGTCGTCACCTTTTAAAAACTAACCTTAAAATTGGATGGATGGATTCGCTACGGAGATGCGGCTTGTGGTTCTTTTTTGGATCAAGAAGATGTAACCAGAATACAGAGAGTGCAAAAGTCGTGTTTACGATTGATTCACGGTGTCAGGCGACGTGATCGCATATCGTATAAACTCCGAGAAGCAAATTGGCTCTCAATGGGAAAACGTAGACAGTATCATGCAGTCGTTTTTTACCATAATATAATTTTAAATGCCTGCCCTCCATATCTTTATGGAAAAAATAAAATACCAAATTGATGTCCACACTTTCAATCTTCGATATAGGTGTCTTATTTCTCCTCCCGCGCATAGTAAAGCATTGTTTGAAAGATGATTTTGCTACTGTGTCTGCAAATGGTATGCTGTTCCCAATAACTGATGCCCACAACTTTTGGAGAAAATTATAAAATATTTTCTTTATAATCAATCTATTAGATAATTAGCCGAAGTAAATCTCTATTAATAAAATACTGCACAGGTTTTTTTTCATATATGCATGTTGACGAATGGATATATTCAGTATGTATCGTAATATGTTAAGATATAAGTAGCTACGAAATTAAGGACTGGGCTTTGATCTTTTTTAACATTGTTTAAGTATTACAGTAGCCTGCGGAAGTTTCTTTGAATGAGTTAGGGAGTATTGAAAAGAGTTTTATTTGATTTTGGTTTGGTTTAATATTGATGATTTAAATCGGCTATTTAGGATCGACATAACCTAAGATTCTACGCGTGGAAAACGACGATTTATATGAACCAAAACCGAAATTAACGTATTCGTAATGCGCAGCCGTTTAGGAAAAATGTTCAAACAAACGTGAAAGTTTACGAAAAGCGCGGAAACGGCGACGACTGATGACGACGTTAAATAAAACACGCGGGCCATTAAAGAATTTGCGAAATTTACGCGGGCTACCTTGTGAGATGCATTCATCACGCGCGATCGAGATTTATCGTCGTTATGTAAAGCGCTTCAGACAATGCCAATCGGCACATTATTAATTTAACGATTATTTGACCTACATTTTATAGGCAACACGTGGAAATGATTTATTGTCGCCGTTTTTGAGCGGTTTTGAATCTAGCTCGTTCGAGGCGACATCAACAAACAAATAATAAAACAACAATATAACACTTCTTATAAAACTTTTGGATTCATCCTGAGTCAGTTTTTGTTGACTCGAGTTTGCTAATGTTTCGCCAATCATCCTGTTGGCTTCTTCAGAGCTTGACTGAAACTGGCTCGCAATTTACTTTGTACCTGCTTTTATATTGTTTGAAGGGGGCGGAGCTAAATGATGGGCATAAACATCGTCTCGGATGACTGATTCCCATATTGGTGACAAGTAGAGACCTGAGTCGCGGTTAAGATTATTAGGTTGCTTATAGATAGAATTGATTACATGCAAGAATTTTAGTTTTATTTGTCTCAGTTTTAATTTGGATTTATACGACTCCAGCGCGATCTACCTTGAGAGGGCGAAAAATTTCAAATTTGTTTTTCGTTCTTGACGCTTCGAAGTTGCAATAAAATCCTTTCGGGGTTTTATTTTTACAGTAAAATGGATGAATGATATGCATAAAAAAATGTAAAAAACATTGTCTTAAAATCTTAGAGTAGTTAGGTAACGCCTGTTAAAAAGCAAAAAACCGCACATAACCTCAGTCTCCTCAACCCCTCGCAGAGGGCCCCCGCGCGTTGCGCTCCGCCCCCGTCCTAGTGTACCCCCTTGCTACCTTAAATAAAAAAGTAACGGTTAAACGTCATCACCCATTTTGCTTTTGAAGCCAATGAGATAACGAACTTTACCGTTGACTCGTCCTGTACTGCAACCCACCTGTTAGTTGGGCTTTGAGTTAGAGCTGTTAGGTAGACTATTTTTAAATAAATAAACAGTAATTTGGGCGGGTAAAAGTTCTCGTGCCCTAACGACGCCCCTGCAATATTGGGAGGGCGTGGACTTACCGCGACAAAGGCTTGGATACAGTGTGCAATTTGCATAGTAGCCAGACGCCGGCGTGTGGGTTTGTTTTTCGGGGTGGGGGTCAAGAGGGTAGCAGAATGATTCGACCACCCCGCAACCACGGGCCCGTTTCTCAGTCCGCGAAGCAGCGGCGGCGCCGGTGGGTCATCGCGACAACAACGCCCCCTCCTGCGCGGCGACACGTCGGCTTAAACCTTATAGCGTTCGCTCGGAAAATCTGCAATTAGGAATAAAACGAAAAACCGGCGGTGTTAATTGGAATACGCGGCCGTTTAGATTTAATATCTAGCGTGCGGCACATAAAATCATTAGCCGCGTTACATTATCGGCCATTTGCAATTAAAATGGAACCGGATTCGGATGGCGATATTATTAAGGGGATCGGTTCGGGGGACGCGTAAAGTGCGATCGACTTATCCTGGCACGTACGTCGAAATACTACGGCTCGAGAGGCGTCCGTTTTGAAAAACTGTGGAGTATAAACCCGGGGCTTTGGAAAATATTATAAATACCAATAACAATTTTTTTAATCGATACAAAAATAATTACCAATCAGTAAGGTTTTTTTTTTTATTAAATACTTTTTAAAAAATTATAAATAGGGGAGAGTGGGGCATGACTGCCAGCAGCTTCGCCAAAATTTGGGTAAATTTAGTTAAAGTTAGTCAAAAATAAATCGACTTGGTGGTTAAAAGCCACAAAAAAATAATAGAAAGTTTAAGGGGTCACTTGCCCCACCACCCTCCCCTATCTAAATAAATACAGATTTGAAGTTCTACGTCGCCATACAGGTAGAGAGTTCAGTTGGTGATCACTGAATTAAAATGCCGTTTTTACACATGGAAAAGCAGCCGCTATAAATGCTCTTCTCAACAACACTTTCAGCTTCGTTAAAATTAAAATCTACCAGGAACAATCTGCTAGTGAAATTCAATTTGAAAAAATCTAATCCCGACATCGTAATTCCAAAAACAGATCAAGGAAATGCTACGGTGGTCATGAACTCAACTGAAAATCAGGAAAATATTGCAGACGGATCCGTCAACTTCCTACTATGGAACGCAACCATACATCCGTTATTAAAGCGTCTTCCCTATTAGAATCCGTGAAAAAGTCTGTCACCCCTCATGACTCTCAAATTTCTCGTCTCTACGGTCTCCTACACTTATTGTCAGCATCATTGGTTCTCCGACATATTCTCGACCAAAATAACTAGCTTCTATATTAAAGTCCTATACAAGGAAAACTGATAGTTTTGTACGACGTAGAATCCCTGTTTACCAAAGTCCATATTCATGAAACTCTAAACCTTCTCATCTTAATAGCCAAACCACCAGTCATCGCCAATATGTTGATGGAAGCGTTCGAGAAGAAAGTCCTCGACACCTTATATCTCAAACCAAAATTATTCTTATCAATAGGAAATCAGATCTAACATTGGGTCATTCTGCTTACAGATAACCTACTCACACGGACCGATACCTTAATGCATTGTCACAACACCATCCGACCCAAAAATCACCTCTTTTGTTTACAGAGCCTCTACTATCTCAACCCGAGTCACTAAATCCTGAATTAAAATACCGTACCTGCTCTTCTCTCTAATAATTTCCACATTAGAGATATTAAGTGTTCCATCACAAAATGTACTTCACCACAAACGTAAAAAGAGGATGAGTCCGAAAGAAACCCCACATTTGCCACTATTGCCTTTCCGTACATTCATACCAAAAGAATAAGAAGAAGAAATATAACGTTAAAACCAAATTTACCACTTGTCCAAAAATCTCTGAACATCTTCGATGTGTTAAAGAAAAAATTCCGTTTGAGATACCAAGAGTTTACAGCATTCATCATGATACAGTCTTAAGACTAGGACAACTTAAGACCACGAAGTTCTTGGATATAATCAATTCCTCTACCAAAGAAAAATTCGAGAATCTATAGGAATCTTTAAGCGAGGAAACAATCTTAACCACGACCCAGGTATTTACGTTTCACCAATATAGAAATCAGTCATCCCAGACAATGTTCATGCCCCTCATTTAGCTCCGCCCCCCCTTAAATATTATATAAGCAGGTACAGAGTATAATGCGAGTCCCATCAATTACAAATGCATTTTTTAATGCACAAGAAATCACCTTTAAAAATATTTTTATATTATTTGTTTATAAATTATTAGCATTAACGATTTTCTTTTTTCTTTTATTTAATGTATTGCTTATTTGTTTTAAACGCAATTATGTTCAAAACAAATTATCACTTGCTCATTAAAAACGGCCGTTTTCCGTTCTTTTGTAATAATAAGATGACTACATTAATCAAACTTGAACGTTTATATTTTAAGATCAATCTGTTGTTACTTGCAAAGATTTCTTTAACATTTTATGAAGAAAAGATGGTCTGCTGTAATTTGACTTTTACCCGCCGATAGAAGAAAGGGATAAAGCCGCCATTAGGATCTGCGTGCTCCTTTTCTGTAGTGACCGCCGTTTGCATTTTGGTTGGTTTATAATTTGGTTGGTTAATAATTTTTTGCGAGTAAACAAGTAAAAAATTAATTATTAGAAAATAGTGCAACCAAGAAGGGGTGGAAGATCACACCTAAACATTCTTAATACTTTGCTCTCATTTTATTGCCAAAACCTAAGTAAAGGTGTGATTGAAAAAAATCTGTTCGTTTTATTTTAAGTGAAACTGATATTATTGAAATAAATAGTAAATAATAAGTAGTAAATAAAAATTTAATTTCAATAAAAATATTATATTTTATAAGAAAAACTATAACACTAATATTGCACGTACCTGAAACTGGAAAATATGACTCTCTAATCTAAGGGTAGCGTTAACAACATTAATAACATTATAAATAGGGGAGAGTGGGGCACGACGGCCAAAATTTGGGTAAATTTATAAATAAATCGACTTGATAGTTAAGTCACAAAAAATAATAAAAGACTTAAGTGGACCGCCTTGCCCCTTATCTCCAATATCTAAAAGTGACAAAAACTTTGCGAAAGTCAATAATATTTCTATCGATCAACGTTCAATTATTAAGCAAATATTTTTATGTTGATTTCGGCCAGACGAGTTCTGGGTATACGGAAAAAAATGCAAAATCGACGCCATGCAAAACCACATCAAATTTACCCGAATGTATCGTGATGCGTCCCGTTGTGTTTAACGCGACGAAATCAGCTGGGGTGCCTCGATTGACGGATCGCGGAGTCAATGAGTCTGAAGCGATAACCGTTCACTAAATTCCGCTGATACGGGCCGCCGCGTTTATTATAACTCGTTTTAACGCGTCACCCACGCACCGGGAACGCAATTGGTTCGCAAAATTCGCGCCCACCTGTTGCATCCCCCGTATTCCCGACGAACCGACTTCCACGGGATCCCGGCGACCTTCCCCCAGGCGCGGGAGTTGGTTTTAGCGTTCCTCGGCGTCCTCCGATTCCCTTCTATCCATTTGACGTGTTTTTTTTTTAATCGGACATTTATTTTGTGTAAGAAACGATAAGGTAAAAGGCGATGAGGTCGTACAGTTTTGGTTAGTTTAAATTGCAGGCCCGTGGCTGTCAATCTAATAGTATATATTTTGGTTACTTACTAGGCGAATATGAGCTATATACGTAAAATATTTTTGGCCATGCGGTGTTGCCAGATATCCCCGTAACGTATATCAACTTTCGGTTTTTAAGTGGAACACCCTCTATATTATTGCATTTTTGGATTCTGCGAAACATTTTGGAACTTTTTTTATGTAACATGTACCATACCAGTTAAGCAGTTGAATTTTTGGTTGCGGTTCCCTATTAAATTGTTTAATCATAATATATCACGTCATTCTCCATAGACGTATAATATTGCACTCACAGTGAATACCCCTATATAATAAATTGTAAATGTCATAGATATAGTCGGTACGATTTGTAATGGCACAGTCGGCAATAAAATGCCGGACAGGATAAAATAGATTGTCCATTCCACTTATGCTTCAACAAATGTTGTTACTCCTTAAATGTGTATCACCCAAAATAGCTATTTGTTTAGTATTACACAAAAGGCATATAGATGCGTTCGAAACTGCTGAGACACCATCTGAAAGATAATATAGGTTTTAGTTTAATCGGTCATATTTTTGAGAAATAAGGTAGAATATCAAACTTAAGTCAGGATTTCTGAGAAATAGATCACAATTTCTGAGGCAATAATAGTATTTTCGTGTCTAGCACCTCTAGTTCAAAGATTACTCGCATCATCCCGTATATCTTTTAGATCGGCACTGTCCCCAGAAATTCTGACTTAGTTGTCACAAATTCTGACTTAACTCATATTTTGAATGTTTTCCAGCAACGCGGGCTTATTTTACTATAATTATGCCTTATTTTTTATAAAGACTGACTTAACTCATATATTCTCGCCATTTTTCAGAAGTTCGGACTTATTTTACAGGAATTTTGACTTAACTCATAACTTCTGACTTATTTTTTGACAGTCTGGCTCAACTAATATATTCTGACTATTTTCCGTAAGTTCCAACTTATTTTATAGAAATTCTGACTTGAATTCAGAAATTCTGCCTTATTTTTAGAAAATTCGAACTTGTTTTTCAGAAATTTTGAGTTGTGTGACTTAAGTCATATATTCTGACTATTTTTTAGAAAATCGGACCTATTTTACGGAAATTCTGACTTAATTCGGAAATTCTGATGTGTTTTCCAGAAATTCTGACTTAACTCAGAAATTTTGCTTTATTTTTCAGAAATTCTGACTTAACTCATATACTCTAACCATTTTCGAGAAATTCCGATCTATTTTCCAAAAATTTTGAAATTATATTTTTATTTTCGATAGTCTTTCAGCACTTTCGTAGATCCGAACCCGAAATAATCAAAATAGTTTTCAAACTGGCGTGGTGGTCGTTGAACCACTTGCTTTTATATGCTATTTAAATGCGCAAAACAAATCGATCGCATACGTATTTCTTTTAGACGAAATAATTAATCCGCATTCGAAAATTTTCCGCGATATCCTTATTTATGGGACGTTCAAACAAAGGTATGCGGTAAATATGCCATAAATTACGCGCCGCGGCTATAGGTAATTAAACTCGTACACTAAATTTAAATTTTCGGACACGGAAATATTGGTTTTATCTTTTAGGCCGCGTGGTCAATTTAACACGCCGTTACCCCCATTGAAATCTTATT